AATGTCCTCCTTGCAAAGGAAAGATTCGAGCGCCGTCTTCTGTTCCTCTTTTAGAGAAAAAGCCAAGTCTAACTCGTTCATTGTAGCAGCCAAAGCCGTTTCTAACAGCTGGTGTTCATCCATAGCCATCTTGCAATGTTTACTGACTGATTCTGGACTTAGTCGTCGCAGCGCTGTCGTCATCTGTTTAGCTCGCCTCTGGCCCGCCTATATCAGATACACCGATGTGATTGGTGCAGCTCGGCTCCAACGGCATGGGTAATGAGCATCATTACTGATTGACAGAGTGACTCGCTGAGCAAATTCAAATTGTGCTCTCGTGAGAACTCTGGATTTCCAGGGTAAGTCATGACACCAACGAAGAGGAAATTATTGGACCTGGAGCCGGCCTGCTCGGTCGCCGGTAAGCGATCTTGTGGTGGCCATATTGCTCCGCCGTTTTCCTGTCTGTGACCCCCGTTCAACGCACAACCGGCAGGATTCGCCTTTCATTTCTGCTGCTGGTTGAAATCTGTACTCGCACAGCGTGCTCCTGAATGATTTCTTTTGCTCGCACAAAACTATTTTTAGTCGCAAATGCGAGTAAAATGCTCGCACAATAGAGCTCTGTGGAAAACAAATCACTGCCAACAAGTAAAAAGAAATAAATAATAACTTTCACTGCTCAAAGATACTCAATAGCTCAGCTAATACCTGAAATGTCACTGGAAAACAAACCACTGCAGCAGCTCGTTGAGTGCCAGGTGGCCAGCGCGCGCCGTTATTGGACGGCGCATGGACACTCACCCTCTTGTAACTGGACTTTGAACTTATCCCGCAGTAGTGGTGCCGTGAGGTACCGTAGTACTACGGTACTCCAACATGATGGTATCATATGTACCGTGGTGTTTAAGTACCGCAGTCTACCATTAATACCAGTATACTGTGCAACACTACTTTACTCATATGACACCAGAATGACTTCTGCAGTTGTAACTTTGGGCAAAGATAAAAGTGACTGTGAGAAAATGTGCTGTCCAGGCTTCAGAGCGGCAGTTCAAACAGCAAAAGATTGCTGTGGCGCATACGAAAGTAGTGACCGGAACTGGGGACTCCCTACTTCGGTCATGGCCACCATTTTGTGAAATAGGTGAATTACAACCGTGCTGATGCACAGCAGAGCAGCACTCCCTCTGCTATGATGTTGCTGAATTGTGTTTTACACAGGATTTCATGGTTTCAGTCAAATTATCTGAACCATTGAATTGTGGAGGATCAAGCAGAGCTTAGTTTTAACATTTATATTTTAATCTTAAAAACAATGATGAAGGCACAACAGATTGAAATGGTATAGCCTAAAATGGTATAATGGTAGCCTATATCTTAAACGTTATTATCTTTGTAGTTTTGGAACAATAAACTAAAATAAAACCAAATCCAGTATAATAAGATGAAATGAAATAACGCTTCTACCTCTTCCACAACAACAGAAAAGTGGTAAACTAATTACAAAACAAACAAAGCAGCAATTAAAATTGTACAATGTAAAAGATAAAATAAATTAAAACATCTGAATTAACATATGAATTAGGCCTAAGAGAGAAGAGGAAAAAAGATTAAAGATTAAAATATTATAATAGGGATGAAGCAATATTACAAACTAACTGAACTCATATTGTTGTCTGTAAAGATTTGTCGTTTTTTAATCGTCTACAGACAGAATTGAGTTTGTCCTCCTCTTCTTCTTGTTCTTCCTTTTCTTCTCCTCTCTTCTTCTTCATCTTCTTCTTCTGTGTGTCTGAGCTCATGACAGACACAAAAAGCTGCTGTCACCTGATCTGTTGACCATCAGTCTGACTCCACCCACTGCTCCACCTGAGCAACAGGTATCAGTTACTGCTGATGGTGCATTCAGGGGCCGTCAGAACAAAAATCTGAACTGTTGTTCTGTTTCAGATGTTCAGATAAAGTTAAGGTATTTTACTGAAAGTAAAATAAAAACCTGAATCACATCTGATATGAAAACGCATCATCTCACTTTCCTCTGCTGTTGTTCACAGCAGCCTGGGATGATCATATTTACTATAGCACCTGAAGGCAGCATTCCTCACCTGCCGCCTGTTACCAGAGATGTTCTATTGAGAAGATGAGTCACTCTGTTAACATCTCCAGACACAAACAGCAGATGTTACCATAGTGACACGTGTATTACTAAGGAAGGTTTAACTTGCACATAACACTACAATTAAAATGTATGTCATTTAAATAGACACACAGAATGTTTCTTAATCACTGATCAATCTGACCAATATTCTGCTTAACGTAGCTCACTGACAGTTTCATGTGTCACTGTTAACATGTGTGATGTTCAGAAATATACTCAAATGACTTTTGTGAATGTCTAAATTGTTTTCCAGTGACGTTGTGTTGAGAAACATTATTTCTGCCCGGAGTTTGTTCAGAGGCGACGTTTTAAAGACACATTTAAAGATCATGGTTTTGGTAAATTGTTGATAATTTCATCGAAGGTCTTAAATCACAAAAAGAAACACACAGATCGGCGTAATAAATAAATTGTACAAAACACAAAGCAATATAATGCATAAGCAGCAAAAAGAAGCAAAAATATAATGAAGAGACGTCTGATATGACGAATGCTCATTAACGTTTCCTCATTGTATTGATGGAATATATGAACTGGTGTTTCTGAAACAACGTGTTTGCTGTAGCTGATTAGTTTTACATACTGTAAGGTATATTTGAATTTAATTAAGAGGAGACAGAGTTTAATTTCTTAAAGTTAGCATATGAGCTAACTATATTATGATGCATTCAGTTTGCACTGGGAAGCTGAAATTTCCGAGTTTCCAGTCAGAAAATTCAACTGTAAGCCCCCTGAAGATGAATTTCTGACTCAAAACGTTGGAGGAATCTCACCCTCACCAACCCAGGCCTCAAATCCAAGATGGTGATTGCGCAACAACAGTGTGGGTTAGGTAACATAACCATGGTGTAACTCCAGATTCAGAGTTCAGGCGCAGCCGTCAAGTCAAGTCAAATTTATTTATATAGCACATTTAAAACAACCCGGGTTGACCAAAGTGCTGTACAGTTCCTCCAAATATAAATAAATGAATGAATGAATAGCACAAACAACATAAATTATCAATAAAATCAACAATAGGTTTAGACAATAAAACATCAAAACTAGAGTAAAGGTAAAATACAAATAAAAGCTATAAAAGACATGTCCGTCTCAACAAGAGGTGAAAGCAAGCAAAAACAGGTAGGTTTTTAAAAGAGATTTAAAGTGTTCCAAAGTTCGGGCTGCCCTTATATGGAATGGTAAAGTATTCCATAAATTTGGCGCCACAGCGGAAAAGGCTCTGTCACCTTTGCTTTTCAGTTTTTTATTTCAGTGTATTTCAGTGTTTTCAGTTCATGAAAGTTAATTTCAACATTTTGGCCATCTAAAACAGTCGTGATCCGGTAGTCGTGTGACCTTGGAAGCAGCTGGATATTCAGTTTTTCTGGTAAGTACATTTTGTTTTAATGGTTTTAAAAATGTAGCCTACATAAAAAAAAAGTCCCAAAGTCCTCAAATGTGTACTATCTAGCGGCATCTTAGCTTGCTACTGTTGCTAAACTTGTTATAGTTTGTAAGGCATGTCAAAATACAAATGTTATTAATCATAAATAAACACGTTTCAACCATGATGTGATCAGGTTTTGAACCTTGTCCACTTTTGTGTCATGGTCGGCTGCAGACTGCATAATGGCTGCATGACAAAGATGGCTGCCATCTTGTTTTTACATAGATTAGTGTATTGTGTTCTTACTACCGTTATCCTTGTGCTGCTTACCTTGTCATGATGGGGAAGCTTGTGTGTCTCCGTGACCCGGGTAGCTATACTGACGGGGGCTTAACCCCCGGCAGGTTCAACCATGTCGGGCAGGTATCCCGGGTAGAGTCCAGACAAAAATCAGCAGCTGGTCCTCCAGGTTGGGGGTTGGGCGTGGGGCCAACGACCCCACCCTGTAAAAAAACACAACATGTTATGGAAACTAAGACGATCACTACTACCATCACGGACCCAGCAGTGGACTTGAGCCAACCCATTGGCAGCATGAACTCTCCTGATGAAAGCCTCCAGCAGGAAGTCAGGAGAGGGAAAGATAGTCTAAGCTAAGATCCGCCTAGGTGCATGGAATGTCCGCACAATGTTCGAGACATCCAAAACAGCACAGGTCACTGGTGAAATGAGGAGACACAAGCTGGACATACTAGGAATTAGCGAATGCCGATGGACCGGCTGTGGACGCCAAGATCGAATCCCAAAGGTCGCACTGAGATGGACCCCAGCTGGGAAAAGGAGTCAAGGTCGACCCAAAACAACCTGGCGACGAACCGTGACCGCCGAGCTGAAGGAGATGAACCTTACATGGGGCGAGGCACAGCATGCAGCGCAAGACAGGTCCCGATGGAGGCAGATTGTCGAAGCCTTATGTCCCACCTGGGACGGAGAGGATTAAGTAATTAAGTAAGTTTGTACTAACACCTGATCAGTGGTTCCCAGCTGGTGGATCATGGTCCAAAAGTGGGTCAGGGGTCCATTCTGAAGTCACTCGCAAACGTGTCAAGTTTGTAAAAACTTTTATTTGTAACTACAGTGAATTTCCAGCACAGAGCTTTTATTTTGAAGTGCAGTTTCCTGCTGTACAGTGAGTGACTAATGGTCACTCACTCAATGGTAAGTATGATGCTGAATGTATTTAACTGTGTGGACCTTTAATGACTAAGGAGAAATCTGGACCCATGGCTAGACCAGTTTGGAGCCAGTTGTCTAGATGGCACAAAAGAGTGTCTACAAATGCGGACAACAGGCCCAAGTTAAGCAGAATGAAGGATAAGGTCCAGTAAACCCAAAATGTAACGTCCTAATACGAGGACACAGGATCTCAGGAGGATATTCACCCTGCCCTCAAAGCAAACAGAGAGGGGAGGTGGTTTGTTTAGTTTGTCTCCTGCAGTGGAGGCGGAGTGAGAGCTCTTTGTTTTCTGTCCTATCTGTGCAGTGATCAGAGGCAGCAGGAGGCAGCAGGAGGCAGAGATCCGCAGCTGACAGACAGAGGAGACGCTGCTGCAAACATCCCTCTGACTTTATTCATTCTTCATCTTCACTTTCTTCTCCATCAAACCCAGTTTAACCAGCAGCAGAGGGGACCGCAGACCCACTGATGTCAGGCTGAACTCTGCTCTGCTCTTTTATTATTTACATCATCATTATAATTTATATCTGAAGTGTTTGTGGTGGTCGCGGAGATGCCGGTGCAGATCCCGGACGACTCGGACTTCTCCTCGTTCAAAGATCAGTGTCTGAGCGGAGACGGATGGATCAGCCGCTACAACAAGGGAGGAGTGACGGTGTGGTGCCGAGAGGAGGAGAGCAAGACGGTGCAGAAACTCAAGGTGAGGACTTACTGCTCTTCATCATCATAATCACGGAGTTACTCCTCTTCATCATCATTACATTAACTATCACAGCCTCCTGTGAGGGTCTGACTGCTCCCACATCAGCTACTGTCACCATGACATCAGTCTGTCCGGGTTAAATTACACTGTGTAAATAAAGTCTAAAAGTCTGTGTGTCAACGAGCTGAGACCAGCTGGTTTTTCAAAGTAAAAGTTTACATCGTTAAGGTGTTTAATAGCTGTATTGAACTCCTGATGATTATAAAAGATGAATGGATCTCCACAGTGACTGAAGCTTTCAGGTGAATTTAATGAGAGGAAGTGAGTAGAGCTGCAACAATTGATCTATTCCTGATGGACAAAAAAATAAATAGATAAAAAAATAAATTTAAAAACTGAGGAATACAAGTGAATAGACTGAGAACTACAAATAAATAATAAATAAATAAATAAATAGACTGATGAATACAAGAAAATCGACTGAGAACTACAAATAAATAAATGAATAAATAGATANAAAAAACAAAAAGAAAAGAAAATTAATAAATAAATAAAATACAGTAGAATGAAATACAAATAATATAAAAATAAATAAAAAGCAAAGGAAAAAAAATAGAAACTCAAAGGAAAAATATGAAAAATATAATAAATATATCTTGGTTTTGGACTGTGGTTAAATAAAACAAATATTTCTTCAGACTCTGGGAATTGTCGTTTTTTTTTAAAAAAATACTATGTTCTGACATTTTAAAGACAAAACAGTTACTAGATTAATTGTGAATGATTGACAATGACAAAAATTATTAGTTGTGTAGCCTTAGAAATAAGACACTTCCTACAAAACTCCAAATCTCCAGCAAACAACCAGAAACTGAAGGACTAATTATAATGATACCATCGGGTATGAATTTCACATTAAAATATTAGCTTTACAGGGATAAAATAAATCCGGTAAATCTACTTATTATTACAGTTTAGCACATATAAAATCCTGCTGCACAAACAGGTTCAAAGATAAAATGAGTCGTCTTAAAATTACATCATAAAACCAGGGTGTCTGCAGGTCCTTAAAAAAGTTTTCAAATGTCTTAAATTAAACGTCACAACAATAAAGACCTTAAAAGTCATTAAATAGCCTTAATTTTGTATTTGTTAGGTCTTAACTACTACAGACGTTTCATCTTTTTTAATTTGATTATCCATTTTTTAATGTCTTTTCTGAAAATGAGTGAAGCCTTTCTGTGTAAAAATCCACATTTCTAATGTTACAAATCTTTAAAAAACTAAAACACTGTCATTTTGCTTCATACTTGGTAAAATGTAGACTCACTTAACTCACTCTAATAACCACATTCCTACATAACACCTTAGCTGTGATGCTTGAATAACGAAAACATGATTTGTCCAAAAATCTGTCCTAAATCGGGTTAAAATGTGTCTTGAATGGGTCATAAAAAGCATTAAATTTAACTGTCTGATACCTGGAGACACCCTGAAAATGTTTTTCAAAACATTCTCAACTCAAGGTCCACTTACTGTTTATGTGCCAGAGCTTTCAGCAGCATCTGGCAGTCAATGGATGAAGTTTGTGCAGTTGTCATGGAGATGACTTGGCTGATGTCACGTAACTTCAGTTTGAAAAGTGTGAGAATTAAGCCAAAGTTTGTGTTTGTCTATCTTTTGTTTCCACAGATAGGAGTGAAGTTCTCAGACTTTAGCAGAGGAACATAACAGAGACATTAAGAATAAAATATGATGAATTCAATATTAATGAGCTGTTAAACACCACAGACACACTGAAGGGAGATCACACATAAGACATAAAAATATATTAAAAATGAATAATGTGGAGAAACAGATGGTTGACATGAGTGTCAGAGAGCAGTCAGGTCAGACGTGTCAACTTTATTCTTCCTACTTCAGCTCTTCAGACTGAACAGACCGAGTCGGTTGGTTGAATCAACAGTTCCCCCTTCAGTTAGTCAGAGTCAATATTTAGTGACACAGATCTCTGTGTGAGAACTCGTCTGTGTGGTTAAACCAGTTTTAATGTACTGATGTGTAAATCTGAGTAAATATCAGCTGCAGGAACTGGAAACAAAAACACAGTAACTGACCGCAGAGAGCAAACGATCAGCGAGTCAATCAAGGATCACCAAACCCATCAGTTATCCATCAGGTGACAGTCAGCCTCTGGGGACGGTCACGGCCAGTGTTTCAGGAGATCCGGTAAAGATGGCAGATATCCAGGACAAGAGTCCTTCTGTGAGCCAGACATGTTGGCTAACCTCCTGCAACAGATGTGTGTGTATGAATGAAGATACAATTTTTAAAAGCTGATATAAAGCTAAATCATTCATGGATCCCGAGATTAAATTTCAGTCAGTGCATTCCGCCTCTCCTCACTGTACAGCTTGTAGCCATGTAGCCTCGTAGCATGTAGCCTGGGCGCCTGTAGCCCTGCAGTCCGTCGCCCTGAGGCCTGCAGTCCTAGCCTGGGGGCCTGTAGCTCTGTAGCCTGTAGCCCTGCAACTTGTAGCTCTGCAGCCCAGTGACCTGTGGCCCAGTAGCCTTTAGCCTGTAGCCCTGCACCTTGTAGCCCTATAGCCGAGTGACCTGTGGCCCCGTAGCTTGTAGCCCGGGTGCATGTTGCTCTGTAACCCTGTAGCCATGAAGCCTGGTGACCTGTAGCTTTGCAGCTTGTAGCCCTGTAGCCTGGTGACTTGTAGCCCTGACACCTGTAACCCGATGGCTTGTAGCCCTGCAGTCTGTCGCCCTGCAGTCTGTCGCCTTGAGGCCCGTAGTCCTATAGCCTGTAGCCTGGTGTCCTGTAGCTCTGCAGCTTGTAGCTCTGAAGTCTGTTGCCCTGCAGCCTGTAGCCTGGTGACCTGTAGTTCTGGAGCCCTGCAATCTGTTACCCTAAAGCCTGGTGATCTGTAGCCCTGAGGCCTGTAGCTCGTTGGCCTGTAGACCTGAGGTCTGTAGCTTGGTCACCTGTAGCCCTGTAGCCTGGTGACCTGTAGTCTGTAGCCCTGAGGCCTGTAGCCTGGTGACCTCCTGCAGAGGAAAAGCAAACCGGCGCTCAGCGTCAGTGTGCTGAAAAATTCAGAGCGGAAAGGAAAACGTAACGGCTGGAAACTTGAGGATGGAGGTGGTGAGGCGTTCAACCGACAGCAGAGCTGGGAGACGCTCCAACAGAAAGGGGACTGAGACAGAAACAGAAACCAGTTCATGTTCACTTCACAGGTTCTGTTTTCTTTACTGGAGCATTTCCAGTCTGGAGACACACTTTCCCTCCAAATATATCACATATATACACGATCTTCATGTTGTAGCCGTATGTGTTATTTTCACTGGTTAATGGGGGACGTGTCCTCACTTTGATTATTTCAGTTTTTTTTACCTGCAGTCTCTGAACGTTGTCCTCTGACAGTACAGACACCTCAGTGCAGAGGAGAGCAGATCTAAGCAGATCAACAGTTATTACTCAGAGCTCAGAGCAGTGAGCTGAGCAGCAGCCAGTGGAGCAGAGAGTCTGTCTGACTGCTGAAGGTTGTTGTCGCTGTATTCAGCTGAAAGCACCTGCAGCGACGACTCAGTGTGTCAGGTGGAGAAATTATTGAGAATGTATTTGTATTCCTAAAACTGCACTTGAGTTGAACATCATCAAAATGAAATAGTAACAGTAACTTTGCTTTCAACTGGAGATAAATGTGACAGTTATAAAACCATGTGGGAAACTTTTAGAAGTTTTCTTCAGGGTGTCTTCAGGTCCTCAAAAAGTCTTCATGTCTTGAATTCAATTGTTTAAATATTAGGCCTTAAAAGTCATTAAATAGGCTTAAATTTGAATTTGTGAGGTCTTAAGTGCCACAAACATCTTTTTATCCCTATTTGTCAACATGAGTCAAACCTTTAAACCTACCACTGAAACTAATACTGTCTTTTTACTTTATACCTGCACTTACCTGTGTCCAAAAATGAGACACCCTGTTCTACTGAAGAGGATCAAATCTGAAGTGAGGTGGACATGAACACCACCTCTAATGAGAGATCATGTTGCTGCAGGATGTGGAAACACTTTGACTGAAAACAAGCCGACGAAAATCTGTAAAAGCAGCTTTAATATCATCAGAAGTGAAGTCATGGAGGAAGTTTGTTGACTGCAGAGAGAAGTTTGGGCTTTTCCTCTTCACTTCAGTACAGTAAGAGTTTAATCGCAGCATTGTCTAGTGGTCGTCAGAGGTACTGCAGCTGCAGACACTCCTGTTTGGGTGGCGTCTGCTGGCTGGTCAAACCATCGGTTAGTTGAGGCTAACTGATGTGTCTCACAGCTCTTTGGAAAGACGAGACATTGGCCGTGTCACACTGACCTCCATCTGGAAACAGATCTGTCAGACACACGACAACAACCAGCTGCTCTGTTTACAGACCGCCAAGGAAATCACTGCTCACACTGTGGACCTCTTTATACCACACATACACATAGATCTATATATGTATACTTTTAATATCAACCCTTTTAGTTTGAGGCCACAGATAAGAGAGAACTGTTTTCATCCCAAGGGAAATTGTTGTGCAGCAGTTGCAGAACAAAGTTAGAAAGAATGCAAATAATCATATGTAAACAATAAAGGTTTTCTGCAAGGTGAGAAAAACAAACGTAGACAATACAAGAAATGTAAACTGGTGCAAATTCTAAATATCATGAATAAACAGGTTGATGGTAAGGTGAAATTCACAATTGTATTCCCATTTATCTTCCTCTCAAAGTCTCATTAGCTTCAAATATGCATATTGTGCTTTTCCTTTGTTTGTTTGTTTTAGATGGTGGAAGTTATGTTTCTTAGCCCCTCGTTACCGTAAGGATGCAGGAACTTTATTAATCCAAAACCCCTAAAAACAGTCTCTGGTGTCTGATTCTCCAATGTGACAATTTGCTGCTTTTCTTTTTCTTTTTCGTTTTATTTTTTAATCTCCGTAAGTCTTGTCGTGGG